ACTAACCCCTCTACTAGTTGGAAACTTCATGACCTGATGATAAGTTGAGGGAACATCACCAGCAGTGTTTAGTAGTGGTCAACTGTAGATGGCATTATAGGCCATGGGGTGTTTTGACAGCTAAGAAACTTTTTATGATCACCATGATTGTTGGATAAAAGCCTAGCATGATCGAAAGCTCTACATTTTTCTCTAGTATCGCAGTTGCCTCTCCGAAACCTTGAATGGGGTGGTTACCACTTTCAATATCCTAGGAAAGATCTTCAAACATAAAATTGCCTCCCAAGTGAGAATATTCACTGCACTTTCGCTGTCGACCAGCATCCTCTTAACATCAAAATCTTCTGTCGCTCCCATTACTAGGGCATCATCATAGGAGCTTGCTACGCCAATCAAGCCTGCCTTCTTCTGGATAGAGCATACCTTAAAAGAGAGTGCATAGATCTTCCTAGTTGTATTTGAGTCTCCGCCTACCATTATTCTTCCAATGATCATGTTATCACTCCGGCTTTGGGTTGGGGGCAACCCCCTACTTTTCCTTGCCTTTGTCGTTTCTCACATATTAAATTAAGAGCCTCCATCTTAGAAGGTGCTCGATCTCCTTCTTAATCTTCGTGCAATTATTAGTATCATGTATATGATCCTTATGGAAATGACAATACTTTATCTGATTTATTTTACTGGAAGACGTCAGAATTGGATTTGACCATTCGAGTTCTTTTATATTTCATATCCTGGGCGTACGCCTTGTTCATGCGCTCATTTTTTGGCTTGTTTTTGTTAATGGATTTTTGCTTATGAATTGACTTTCGTTTGTAACTTGCTAGCTTCCATCCTTCTCTATTATTTTTTGTGACCTTCTTTGCCTCCCAGCGTCAACATACTTGTCTCCTTTCTTCAGTAATTCATGCATTGATTCTAGGGGATTTTTTGGAGAGTGACATCTTAAAGACTCAGTTCCGAGTCCCATTCATCAATGCAATTACCAATGTAGACATTTGAAGGTCCTTTATACAAGTGTTGCCCGGCTAAACCTATCCAAATATTCCTATAAAGGTTCATATTTGTCTTGTACTACCTGCATCAATCCAAAAGCCATCTTCCTCTTTATCTTACTATTTAAGAAGTGAGCCACAAAAATCCAAGAGAGCTCATCAAATGTGTAGAAGCCCGAAAACTAAAATGAAATAAGGATATTTTTTTATGATGATCTAGCACCCTGAGCTTAGCTTATAGACGAACCTTATGCTCAACCCACATAAAAAATGAAAGTCCAATACTAGTTTGACATGTCTTAAATAATCTCATGAAAGTTCATAAGTAATCATCATATTTTGTATAAAAGATCAAGATTTTTAAATAATGTAAGAAGGAATGTAATGTTTTTCCAAAGATTGGACCTGAAGTTGAAAATTTATTTTATGTATAGTAAATATTTTTAAAATTTGATTTGGGAGGTTATGATGTTCCCTTATTTTGGCAAACTAATAAAATTTAGGGACAAAAAAATGAGAAATATATATATACACGCACACATGCAGGAATACTTATATATGGAGTTAAACATTTATATTAATTGGAATGAAACCTACAATTTAATCCCAGAAAACACACACACACACACTTTTAACATAATTTCAAAGCATTAAACCACAATTTACAGTCACACACGTTTCATAACTTTGGTTGAAAGTCAAGGCAATTAATCTCATAAATTGGTAGGATATATAGTGTTATATAAACACACATAACGGCACAATAATGCAAGAAATGAAACCTAAATCTTAGAAATGAAACCTAAATCTTACTTTTAAATTTATCTAAATGGTATAGATGTTGCCACCATTTTTTTAGACAAAATGAGAGTTTAGACTTTTCATTTCTCCAAATCATTCCCATCCCATTTCCAAAATATTTGTATACAAGTTTCACAAAAAGAAAAAAAGAAAAAAAGAAAAAAAAGTGCACACTTTGACCAAGGAAAATGATTTTCAAAAGAAAGAAAAACATAAGAGATGAGCAAATTCTTAAAGCTTTAGGGTGCCATTAGGAAAACAATATTCATTGTACAATTTCAAAGCTTTAAATTTAGGTAGGAAAAGTTGCAAGTGGTTATTTCGTTTTCAAATTATGAATTTTCCTTAAAAGTTCAAATGAATTGGTACCTTTGGGTACAGTTTTTCGACACTACTACAGTTGAATGATATGGTGCTTTGGCATTACTATAGTTGAATGATCATTCTCTAACTCTACGTATTATGATAATTCTACAAAAAATTGGATTTTGCTGGAAATTTATCTATGTGTGATGGTATGAATCTATAGTTTTGAAATTTCTAATTTGTTAACAAAATGTATCGATAATATCTATTGAGTTTAATTCAAACACATGTGTATTATAATTCCCTTCCTATAGGTTGATTTGATTTGCCTGGGTCATGAATGATGGTGGACAATGATGCAACATGCTATGGAGAAGCCGATGACTTAATGTTTTAATTCGGTTACGAGACGTTTAGTATTTTTTTTTTTATATAAATGAATTTCTATGAACATCATATGTGAAACTATTCTAAGAAAATTTTTTTATGAATAAGTTATGTTTAAAAGTAGTTATGTGCTATAAAAATTAACTTACAGACTACCTTTACAAAAACATAAAAAAGTATTACCAATTTAATGTTGTAGTTTGTTTAAAGATTTCAGTTTCTGCCTTGATTTTAAATATTCATAATTCAATCGTTACTTGAAATTTTTGGACTAAACCAGGATTGATAGTCTCATGGGTTAGCTATTGAATAAAATTAAAATCATATCGATTCGATGTGTGTAGAATTTTATGTCTTTTTAAGTAAACTGCGTTGGATTACCTTCCAAATAGAGTCGTTGCGAGGTTTTGAAAAATAATTTAATACCGTATATGTTGCTGATGGAAGTCGATTTTTGTATATGTCATATTGTAAGGAGTTTCCTGCCTCAAAATAAATTCACATGAAGCTTCGAGGTTGATAACCATACAAACAAATTTATTTTGTCACTTACCATACGAGATAGAAAAATAAACAGCCTTGTTTTAGTTATTGTTAGCGGGATTTTGGAAAATATTTTAACACCTCATATGTTGCCGACAAAAACTGAATTGTAGACATGTTATATTATGAGAAGTTCCCTACATTTCCTTAAACTCTCGTGAAATTTCGACATTGATTACTATGTAAACGAATTTATTTTAAAACTTATTGAGCAAAAATGCGGAGTCAAAACAGATTATTCTCCTTCTTACTTCTTAAAGTAGTTCATGCATGGAAGACTATCAAAACTTTTATTTATTTTGTAAATGTCTCCTTGCAACTATTCACGTAAATAAATAGGCATATGCATGGATTTGCTTGACTCTTTCCTTCTTTTATAAATGCTTGTGGAATTATGTTAATATTAGGTTATTATCTAAAATTAGATTTTTCATGAAAAATTCATTGGTAGGTTATATACACATATATAGTAAACTTCACGTTGAAAAAAAAAATAATTCTTTGGGAAATTTTTAAACTTAATATTTACGTTTTCCATCAAAAGAGTAGTTAATTAAATTATTATTTTAGAAAATTTCAAACTCTGAAGTTAAGGTAAAATTGTTCGAGTGACGTGATCCCGACCAAGCGCGTAACACTCCTAGTTCATCTTCTTGACATTTGTTTAATGTTCAATGATTCCCATGGACGGCTAATAAAATAGTTACGAAACAAACCTCCTTGCCCTCCTTGTAGCACAAGGTATTTCTACTACTTTGATGAACAAATGTGACCTACGAAATGAGATTGAGGCT